ACAATAGTCGACTTTAGATATTTTGGTTCAGTGACCATGCACAAAAGAATTGCAGACGAGGCTCCGGGGAAATAAAAGAATAAATCAAGATTATCCATTGTTTCCCCGGAGCCTCGTGTGCGTTCTTTTGTACATAGTCATCGAACCAAAATATCTAAAGTTGACTATATTCTTTGATTTTTTGGGGGGCTCGAACAACCACAAGCTTCGTTCTGACGGTAGTGGTCGACAACTTTGCTCTCACACAAAACAATATTATTATGATTACTATTCAATAGAATATTTCCTTTTCCAGTAGTGAGCTGTTACATTTGTCAGCGTTCTCCTCGCTGTCATCACCATCTATTTCGGAAGTATCATTGTCCTTCCTTCTTCTTGTAGATCGCACAGATGTTTTTTACAGTCTTGCTTGTTATTGGTGTGATCGTTCATACCCAAGCAGCCCCACCCAAATGGATCGACTTGTCGCACCCTTTTGCTGAAAATGAAACCATTTACTGGCCTGGACAAAAACTCTTCCATCACGAATTGGTGTTTCGAGGGCTTTATACTGCAAACACTTTTGTCTTGTACTACAAATACGGTGCTGRGGAGCATGGAGGTACCCACATGGATGCCCSGAACCATTTTATWGAAAACGGTATCTCACTGGAGAAGATCAAGATTGAGGACGTCATAGGAGRTGGGATTGTTGTCAATATTTCAGCAAAGGTACAAAAGAATCCAAATGCCGAGCTTGAAGTCAGCGATTWAGAAGACTGGGAGAAGAAACATGGGAAAATTCCAGAYAACCCAGTGGTGTTCATGTATRCTGGTCGAGGAAAATTTTGGCCAGATGCCGCTAAGTACTTCGGAGCGACCGATCCAAAGAATACATCTACTTTTAACTTCCCAGGTAATCTGATTCAAACTGAGGTCTTAGCATGTCTATCAGTGGAAGGATATAAAAATGCGGGATTGGTCTATTTGCATGTATAGTTGATATATGATAACTGCCTTCCATTTCCCTCAGGACTCCATGCCAAAGCTGCCAAATGGTTGCTTGATAATAGGAAGATCAAGCTCTTTGGCTTAGACACTCCTTCCTTTGACCACGGCAAAAGTGTGGGTTATCCAACTCACAAGGTCTTGCTAGGAGCCGGAGTTCCTGGAATAGAGAACGTCGCTAATCTACACCGTCTTCCTCCAAGAGGGTTTGAAGTGTTTGCTGCGCCTATGAAGATCAAAGGTGGTAGTGGCGGCCCTTGTCGAGTGTTTGCAAGGATTGCAGATAAGATGGATGTCAATGCAGCGACGCATGCTCATCTGTCGTCTTCTCTTGTTGTTATGGTAATGACAATTGCTTTGTTGTATTGATAACATAAAACAAGAACCAATAAAAGGCTTTGAGAGTGGTGTGTTGACATTTTTTGTTTAAAATGGATACGTTCTTAAAACTATGCTTTCCACTCATTGAATCACTGTACTAAATCAAGTGTAATCGCAAAGCACAAATGTCTGATTAGTCGGGCGTATATGGATAGCCGACGCGCTAAAACTTTAAGTGTGATGGTCAAAAGTACAACAACGTGTGATACATCGAGAAGACAAAATAAAGTGTGTGCCAAATAAAAGGTTAACGAAGTGTGGTACGCAAAGCGTGTTTCACGACTCTAAGATTAGTTTCTAGTACGCCGTAAATATTGTTGAGCAGACAATAGAGAACAAAGGAATTACCATAATTAAGACACACTGTCAACCCATCATTCAGTCTGAAATGCCCTAAAATTGTTCTAAAAAGCTGTGATTTTTTGCATAATGATGATGACAATGATTATTAGAATAATGATAGTGATCAAATAAAATCTACAAAACTATTTAGTCGGGCTAGCCATAGGCTAGGCCGACTTTAGTTTTATCTTTTTGTCAATCTATGTGTCATGTCGCGTTTGGGACACCGGGAGTTCAATCCGCAACCTTCCATGTGATATTCTTTCTAACCGGAAATCAGACATCTCCAGCTGGGATCCCTGTGTCATTGCGTCACACATGACGTCATAACAATTATTAAATTAGCATACGTCATATAAGTCTACCTCCGAGTCTGCGGCATATCATCGTATACTACTACTTTTTGCTTGACTTATATACTAATAAATTTGCTTGTTAAGAACCATGTGGGAGGACGTGTGCTTTATGTAACTGAATAAAACATAAGCGCATGCTCAGAGTACTAAATGTCCCATCCAATCACACATTTTTGCAGTTACCAGGGCAAAGGTAGCCAAATATACCATAATAATCAGCCAATCACGTGCATACCTACAAAGTAACCTGGCAACTAAAATTACCCATAATTTCCTGGTTGGGTAGCACAGGAATACCAAGGTCACATGGTCAATCATATTATCCATAATGCTTTACTTTACTTGTCTCATGGTGCTGTACTTGTGCTGCAGTACGTTTGCTCGACGTTTCTTCCTTCTTCCTTGGAGAGTTCAAAAAAGTACAACGAGACTGAGACGCTTAACGGCAGCTCAACCATCTTACAAACGCACACGCCGTTCGCGGTAGACTCACACTAAAAGATGTCAATGAGCGTCAGTTTCGAAACGAGTCGTTCCGTGAACCCAAAGAATTCTTTGACGAAGGATCAGACCTCTACAATAAGCTCTAGACTCACAGTGATAAGTTTATTTGTTCTAATAGCTATGCGTTGAAAGTTATCCTTTAGCAGCATAGTTGAGTGATGTGGAAAATACAAAATGTAGCCGAAGCCGCTAAGTGTGTAGATAGAGTTTACAACAAAAATATGATTCCGAGCTTTCGCTGTATACAGCATCATCAGGGAATGAGCGAGATAGAATAAACACGTAAAATATAAGGCGAAGCGGTCAAGCGTATAGATGGATAGTCAAAGGGCGAACAAAGTGCAACGGCAAACTTCTAATAGCTATATTTTACGTATCAATAAATAGTTTTGTCAATTATATTTCCCCATTTACTGTGTTATTCATCGCAGTCTTGTTAGTCGGGCTAGCCATAGGCTAGGCCGACTTTAGTTTTACCTTTTTGCCAATCTATCTGTGTGTCATGTCGCGTTTGGAACACCGGAAGTTCAATCCGCAACCTTGTCATGTGATATTCTTTCTAACCGGAAATCACACAACTCCAACTGGGATCCCTGTGTCATTGCGTCACACATGACGTCATGACATTTATTAGTCGGACTAGCCGAAGGCGGTCCGACTTTAAATTTACCTTTTAGTCAATCTATCTATCTATCTATCTATGTGTCATGTCGCGTTTGGACCACCGGAAGTTAAGAATTTAATAATTAACTA